ATATATATATATATATATATATATATATATATAACAAAAGTTATATATGTTATATATATATAACAAAAGTTATATATGCTATATATATATATAACAAAAGGTGTAAAGATTCTTGTAAAAATTCTCTTATTAAAATAATATTTTTGGGTGAATGGTAAAGGTTGTTTTGTTAACGAACGAATACTTTTGTTTGTAGAAACAAAATATCACCGGTATTCAGCAGCGGAAAAATAAAGAAAGTCTTCAATTTAATCGTCGAAACTACTGATTCGATGAACACGTATTTAGAACAACAATTTACAAACGATGTGAAGACAAGAAGTATAGAAATGAAGGATATTGCTCTAAGGTATACGACTGATATTATATCTTCCGTTGCCTTTGGAATTCAAGTAAATTCTTTCGATCCCAAAACGATGCAATTCTTTAAAAAAGGTATCTATACAAAAATTAATAAATAAATAAATTCTATGAACTATCAAAACAGTCACTTATTATTATTTCTTCTTTCCTTTTAAAAGCTCAAAAAGGACTTCGATTGACAGTTTTCCGTATGATTCAAATTGGCCTTATGTTTTTCTTCCCCAAATTTGCACAGTTGATCGCTGGTAAAATGTTAGGATCGTCTACAGATTATTTTCGTAAAGTATTTTGGGATTCCATGGACAACAGAGAAATGACCAAAGCTAAACGAGGGGACTTGATCGATTCTTTAATAGATTTAAAAAATGAAAAACAAGAAAACGATTTCAGTAAGTACTAAGTATACAATGTTAATTGTTAATTAATTATTTTGTGTCTACACTTAAAAAATAATGATCTATCTTTAGAATTTGAGGGTGATGTGTTGGTGAGTCAAGCAGGTATCTTCTTTATTGCTGGTCGTGAATCAAGCGTAACAACGATATGTTTTACTCTTTACGAACTTGCTAAACAACCAGAAATTCAGAAACGAGTTCGAGAAGAAATTCATGAGAAATTGAAGGAGCATGGAATAACTTATGATGCCTTCCAAAACATGAAATATCTTAATCAAATTATATCGGAAACTTTACGACTTTATCCTCCAGCTCCGCTTCTTGATCGAGTTTGTGTAGAGGATTATAAGGTAAAGCGACAAATAAATAGATCTTTATTTAACACAATGAACAAGTTTTTAAGTATGTGCAATTATTTAGAAAGCAACAAGAATTCTCTTTCTCGTAAAAATTTTTATGCAACTATGTTTTCTTTTAATTCAATCACTTCTTAAATTTCTAATTTTATTCAAGCTGTTCTTTTTAAATTTTAAAAATGAAATGAAAATAATATGATGAGTATAATGATAGAGGCTCTTAACGCACAAGCAATATTTGAATTTGTATTACATATTAAATAATACATGAACACACAAAAGGAGAATATGTTTCATACACTAGATCTAATTAATCTAATACGTGCTATGATTTATGATTATTAAATTTCTACAACTCATTGGTTGCACGTTCTAAATAATAGATCTTTTTAGATTCCAGGAACTAAGATTGTTATAGAGAAAGGAACACCTGTTTATGTGGCTTTATGCGGTCTTCATAAAGACCCAAAGTATTTTCCAGATCCTCTGCGTTATGATCCTGACAGATTTAGTGACGAAAATAAAGAAAATATTAAGCAATGTACATACATGCCTTTTGGCGATGGACCAAGAGTTTGCGTCGGTAAATAGATTTATCATAAATTTAATATTAATAATCTAATAACAATAATATCATTAATTTTTATTATTCAATGGTATATTCATTATAGGACAAAGACTCGGCTTATTGCAAACTGGTATGGGTTTGGTTTCAATACTTAAAAATTACGAAGTTTCACTAGATCCTACATATAAGGGTGGAATTGATGTCTTAAACGTTTTTTTGACAGTACCAGAAGGATTTAGATTAAATTTGACAAAACTATAAGAAATGTATATCACATAATTAAAAAATAAATCTTTTCTTCTTCTTGTAATGTAATACATTTAAAGGAATAAGGAATCAATTTGATAAAATAAGACAAGTATATTTAATAAAGTAAGACAAGTATGTACAGATATATATTTGTTAGTACTATTATACAAAGTTTTTAGAGGCATCATTTATTATCGTTTCATTTCGGCAATAATGTTAAATACTTTTTAAATTCTGGAATTATACATTCTCGTGGATTTAATGGGGTTTGTGCAGTAAGATAATCGCTCAAATATTGCGGCATAAAGCAGAGAATACCTTTACTAGCCAGCATTGCCCAATCAATCGGTTGACTAACTTGTTTTAAATTCACGAAACAATGAGTAATCTTCTTTCCAGTCGGACTTGTATCATATGGTGGTCTAGAACAAGTAATAGATAAATTGTAATACATCTGTAGATGATTTAATAAAAAGATAATGATATCCTTACCGTGCTTGAACAACTTTACCACCTCCAGCTTCAATTAATCTTTTAAACTGATCGTGCTTATCCTCAGAAACTAATAATAAAGCAATCATATTGTAAAACGGTCCGTTCGGTTCTTTTAATAATTTAAGCCTCCATTTATATGCAGCTGCTGCGATTGTTTCTTCAACTTCGCTAATTGGATCTGGTATGATGCCTTTACTTTTTGGATTTCCCCACTCATATTTTTCTTCCTACCAATACGTGATTAGAGTGAAATAAAAGACTAATCATAAACATATAGGCAATAAATAAAAAGAGAATCAATATTAACATCAAGGAATTTTCCTTCTCGTTCACAGTCTCGTAAATAAATGCAATGTAGAATCCACTTTCCAGATGCTATACTCCCAAGCATTTTTTCATTTCTTGACAGTCTAATGCAAAGTAAATGCGTTGCACTTGTATCAAAACTAATATCTAAGGATACATCACCACCAAGATTTTTTATAACTTGTTCATATGCTATTTTACCCTGTTAGGGCAAATATATTTATAAAATACATATAATAACAGATATAAAAATTTATATATGTACCTTTACGCCCGATAACATGAATTTTGGTTTCTTTTTTTTCGGTTCAGTTTCTTTTTCTAAGAATTCTTCATCATTGTTTGTAGTATGTTCTTCGTGTGCTATACTTTCATTTTGTTCTTCACGCATTGTCAACTTGGCCAATAAAAATTAAACAAGAATTATAATTAAAATAAATTAAATGTAAGAGTTTGATTTATAAAGGAATTTATAAAAGAAAACTTACCCGTTTTGAATGGCTGGGATCTTCCCATACAATAGCATCGACAGGTTGAGAATCTTTTGCAATAACTACAACAAAGAATATAGATAATTAAATAATTAAGTATTAATAAACAGACAATACTTACATTTTTGTATGGGATCGGTAGATTCGGCACTGTATGTGTTTGCATTTTCTCCGGAAAGAGAGTACCTATTTTCGGGAGTACTTGACGCTCTTTGAAGTACTTGGTCTAATTGTGCAATTTGCCTATAGAAAACAAACACCTATGAAAATTTTATAAAAAGAGATGTCCCTCATTAGTGGACTGAGCTATAATTCACATTAAAACGGTAGGAGATAGAGAAATCTTTTATTAGAAAAAACTAAATAGTTTCGAAGTAATACTGCATTTGAAACTACTTTAATTTTTCTTAATAAAATTTTTCTTTGTAGAAAATACTTATGTATTAACTCACATGTTAATTTCATTATTTGGTAGCAGTTCATCTGTGAATTCTAATTTTCTACTAATGGGAGTAGTAGCGGCGGTTATTTTACTATCATTCTTTGTTGCTTCTGGTGTTGCTAGTGAGTGATTATTGTTAGCAGATAACGTCTCTTCTGCATTATTCTGCTATATTATTAATAAATATTTATAAAAATTATTAATTATTAATAAATATTTATAAAAATTATTAATTATTAATAAATATTTATAAAAATTTATTAATAAATTTATATATATATAAAGTGTATTACCTCTAAATTACAATTCTCACTTTTTAACTTCTTCCATAACTGTTTTTTAAGGTCTGAAAGAGGCTATAAATTTAATTACGTTAGTATTTATTAGATACTTTATGTGTTATTAATTAAGTTTACAACAAATACTAACTGTACTAAGTGCTCTTCTCTTCAAAGGAGGTTCTTCTACTCTTAAATCTGGAAGATTATCAACCCATTTTATCCAACCTTTTCTTGTATCTGGCGAAGGATTGGGCTTAAATACTTGACCATATGGCGTTTCTGGTGTAGCCACATGAAACGGTGATTGAGAAGTTTTGTTCATAAGTAAACTAAGTCTTTTATTTATTAATGGTGTATCACTGGAACTGCTATTTTGACTCTGTAATATTTTTTTTTTTATTGTAAATAGATCTCATAAATCCCATATATTGATAATAAAAAAACATGAATGGAAAAGTATATATACTTGTAAATTGACTAAATGGCGTTTTGGAGTAATAATATTCCTAGTTGCTGATTCAGTTGGAAGATCCATTTGATTTGAGTTAGTTTTAAGTAAACTCACATCTGCTTCATTAGTTTCAATTAGCCTTTTAGGAGCTTAAGAAGATTAATGTTAGAAAAATCTTTATGTACATACATATTTTAAAATACATGTATATGTTCAGTTTAAAGATCAAATACAGTCAATGAGCGAAAAAAAAACAATCAAAACAATTTTAAAAGACCTGCAACACGAAATTTTCATATAATGAAATATGGACTGAGGAGACGAAATGAATATTTACAATGCAAGTCAAATTTAATTTCAGCATAATCAGAAATTATTCAAATATATAAAATGTATCTAAAATATATATAAATTGACAAAATAACCCAAATCTAATTTTAATTTAACCAGAAATGTTTACGTTGAATTAGATTTTCCATGGAGCGGAGATACAAAAGTAGGGTCTATGCTTTTTCAAAGGAGCCGAAAATTCATATTGTGGTTATTCCACTAAAGCTATAACGCGTTTCTTTCGCTCATTGAGCGTTCTCAATTCTCAGATATTTGTATACCTATGGTTTCTCCTACAAGAAATGGTGTTTCGTCAACGCATTTTAATTGAGCTGCACAGGTTTTTAACCATTCTGCAGTAACAGCTGGTAATTTCCACTTCACTGCAGCATTATATTTGTTTCCTTCAGGTGTTGGACAAACTAAATGTGTACTTCTATATATATTTTTTTCAAGATTAGTTTTACGAACAAAAATATCTTGACACCTAAAATTAACAATGAATTGATATTTGATTCATTGCAGTTGTTTTTAAAGTGTATATGATAAGAATAATACATAGCACCCAATTCCGCAGCTAATGTTACAAGATACGTTCGTTCTGCTCCTACATATGTACTCATTGTAATGATACAGTCTGATAATGGATTAGAATGTTTCTTTATAGATAGAGGTCTATGATAATACATAATTTCAACTATTTTTTCTTGATTTATACAATCTTCCTATAAAAAAAATGTTAAAATTAAAAGATATATTAAGATATAAAAATTAAAAAAAAAATCTGACACCTACAATAAACAAATCAGTAACAATTTCATTTACTGTATGTTTTAAAGGTGCGCCACATTTTGGCACAACACCGTAATCTGGAATACCAGCAAACGTAGTTGAAACTACTTTTCCATTCATTGTTGCAATAGTTTCAGCTACAAAACCATCTTCTTCACTGAAGCCAGTTACAACAAATGTCAGGCCTGTATATATATTTCAATATTATTTTAGTCCATTGTAGTTCATATCTCACAGCATATTATGAACTTATATATATTGTATTACCTTCAAATAATTTATCATTTACAGCAGAGGTTTGACTAATTGGTATTTCACTATCATTTGTTGAATATCTGTTTTGTAGAGGTGTTACAGATTCTTTCAAATATTTTCTTTGACTTTTTCTTTCATCAATTATAGTTTCATCATTATTTTTATCCGAAATAGGTGTATGCGGCTTTAAAAATTCTTGTATTGTTTTATCATTTGTTTCAACTAGTAATAAATAAGATGTATATTTAATTTCTTTTATAAAAAGTATAAACAATTATTTAAGGACATTACCAACTGTATCTTGTAGATACTGTTGAAGAAGATCAGATGATTCTTTTTCTTTTTCTAACATTGCCAACTTTCGATCCATGTCAAATGATGGTACAGAGACTTTCTTCGGTTTTTGTAGCATCTGTAAGTTCTGAAAAAATATACATATCAAATGTTTATATTACATACCATAATTTTTACATACTTACCTTCTTGCTTAACGGAGACGGAGGTTCTGTAATTTTTTGAACTGCATTATACTTTTGTTCACATAAGAAATTTTCTTCTGGCGCAGGTCGTTTTAATTTGATACTTTCTTCCAACCATTCCAGTGTTAATATATATGGACTATATGAAATATTAATAGTATTAAATTGCAAAATAAAATAGATATTAATTTAGACATTAATTTAATGTTATACCATAGTCCTTTTGATTTCATTAATTTTAGTTCATTAGCTGCTCTATTTTCGTCTCCGACGATAACATGCGTTAGAGCATCAGTTATATCATCCAGTCGAGTTGCACTACCAACATTCAATATTTTGTTAAGTTTATCCTTTTGATTAGGAGCGAATCCAGCTAGATAAATCTGAAGAATAAAAGAAAGAATTGATAAAGATATATATAAATAATAGGGAAATTGAAATATATATAATATAATTTACGTACATTGCAACCATCCAAAAACGGACCAGCCGATTTTGCTTCAGCAAATGTAAGTCTATTCAAAATTGTAATAACTGTAGAAACTGAAAAAGATTTAAAGATAAGAATTAAGCAAAATTCATTATTATTGTTAAGTCATCTTTGTATTACTAACTAGTAGAAGCATTGTTGCATAAATGATCCAACGTAGAAGCATTGTTTATTGTTGTTACTGAGCTTTCATCTATATAACGTTCTTGCTGAATATCACACATTATGGAACTTATTGCAGAACAATTAAAGCTTGGACATACTGTATCAAGAAATTATAACATTAATTAACGAGCCATAGATTTGTAATGCTAACAAAATATTTTTACCGTTTGATTTTTCTGGAGTAGAAGATGCCTTTAATGACTTAATTAGATAGTTTTTAAAAGGTAAGGCATAGCCAACTTTTATACTCTCATATACCCAATCTGGTGTTAAACAAGCAATATTTGTTTGTTTTGCATATTTGAGTTTTTCACTTATTGGACTATTTTCTGGTGCAAGTACAACTTTAACTTTTGTACCATCTAGAGGACCCATAAATATCTAAAAAAAGAGCAATAATATAAAAGAATAGTTAGATAAGAAAGAAAATATAAGAAACAATATACTTACCCCTCCATTACTATTAATTAAACGTTTAATTTCTTCCTTTTGACGTTTTGGAAGATTTGTTGATGTTACAACTAAGTTAAGAAATACAGAAGCTTTATATTTATTAAACATACTGTCATTTGGTGTAACAAAGCTTTTTAAATTCTCCTCCCAAATTGCTTCAACCCATTCTTTTGTAACTATTGGTATTTTCATATCTAGTGCTGCCTATTAAAAAAAAAAATCAAATATTATAATAAACATAGTTATATAATTTCGTAGGTATAAATTTAATTACCTCATATTTAGCAGACATGACAGATGATGTTACAAGATGTGTTACAGGATTACGTAACTGTCTTGTAAAAATTCCTCCCATATACTCTATTAATTTTTGAACATGATCCTATAATAAGATTATGACAATAAGACTATTTTCATTTAAAATATGTTAAATGTTAAAACAACAATTCTCAATGAGTACCTTTTCTTCTGGAGATAATCCAGAAGCACATATACAAAGACCTCTCATTACTGTTGTAAACATTGGACTTGTTCCATCTGGGACTGGTTCCCCATTAATCAAACAAAGTAACAAACATTTTGGTCCAACTATGCTATAAAAATAAAATAATATTGCTTAATATTTTTATAAAATCAATGACAATTAATTTAATGTCATGATATTAAAGCTCTACTTACAGACATTTAAATGTTTTTAATTTATTAAATGTGTCACCTCCAAATTTTTCCATTACAAAGACATCATTTTTGTTAGGTTTTATTTTACTACATTCTTTTTCATTCATCCAAATTGGTTGCAAATCAAGTTCACAACATTTCTAAAAAATTAATTCATCATATTATTTTTATTATTGTTTAGAAGTTATTGTTTATGTAAAAATTAATTTACTAACATTGTATGCATGCCACATATCATCATTACAATCATCTTCGGATTTGTGTTCGTTTGATATAACAAAGTAAAGATTTACATCTGCATCAATTTGGCTCATTTTTAATTTTAAATTATAGAAAGTCTCGTCTTGTTTGATAAATAAATATTTTATAAGAAAATGAAATGTTTATACCAGACTTACACTTACATATTACATATTTTATAACTAAAACAATACAATAAATAGAATTATTTATTCATTGAAAAATTTTGTTGCACACATCGCATCAAGCATTAAATATTACTTTCAATTGCTTAATATGATAAATTGATTTTTTATCTCTATAAATGACAGTAAATTGACTGATGTAAGGATAGGTTAGATTCTCCTCACAAATAGATATTAAAAATATTGCTAATTTTAAAAAGATGTAATTTTGCATTTAATGCGCAAATAGTGCTCAATGGGTTTTATTTAAATTTTAATTCTATTCTATTTCAATTTTATTTAAATTTTTAAAATATTAGTAAGACACTTATTGTATATGGAAAATCTTCTCGCGCCTAATTTTACTGCTTTATTCAATATCAATACAATTTCTAAAATTACGATTAAAATATTATTAAAGAAAATTTAAGTAATATAGATGAATTTCAATAATTAAATATTATGTTGTATATTTTCTTTGCATGAATAAGTAATATTAATATATTAATGAAATATGTTAATCATTTTTTTGTAATGGTTTTGAGTACGTAGTAGAATATTTATTATTTAAAATCTAGAGTTAAAGAATAAAAAAAATTAAAAATATCATATAAATTACTGAACAAAAATATATTTTAGATATAAAATGTCATAAAAATTCAATTGAAAATACAATTTAAATGTAGCATTAAATATTATATATTATATAATATAAATATAAGATCACAGTATGGCACTTCATGTTTTACATTCTGAAATAACAATCTCGAAAAGAATCAGTGTTTTCTACACTCTTTGCGATTTGTAAAATTATTTAGGTATGAAGAGGCATTATTTCAATATTATTAAATTAAATTAAAAAAATTAAAGTGTACGGTCAAATCCCCCGCCCCTTTGCCCTTCTCCTTCCCCTTCCGCCACCCTAACCCTTCACCCAATTAGTTGACAATGAGAATCTGTTGCGCATGGGGTCTGTTGAGTGTTGAAAGTCGTGATATAAACATGCTATTCTATGTGATTTGTATCAAGTGTTTATATTAACTGCGTAATATTTTCATTCTATATTTTTCGAGCATTCATACTCATGATACTGCAAGCTGTATTTAATTAACGTACGTTTCTATTGAATAATTTATCAAATATGTAGTATAATAATTTACGAATAAATTATCTTTCTTCCGTTGATTATATTTTTAGTTGTAACATTCGACAAATTTGGTTGTAGCATTCATTAATGTAACAATCAATAATGTAATATTCATTGTTTTTTTTATATATTTATTTGAAACTTTTGATATTTTTTACAGATACAGATTGTTGATTGATGGCGAGGAAAACTTTGAAGCATAAGGATATGTCAAAAGAAGACCATGGCGATTAACTGTAAGTTCGGTAGCTCTTCATGACGTATTTAACATTTATTTTATTTTCATTTATTTTGTTTTCATCGAATCATTGGTAATTTTTATTTTCAATTTATTTCATTCTCGCAAAGGCGCGCTTTATGAATAGATTTGAATATGTTCTGCGCACTGCGTCTTTTGCGCAGCTTCGTTTAACGAATAAAGAAGCGCGCCATTTTAAAATGCGAAATTGTATACAATGTACGTATATATGAAAAAATATACAATGTTCAAAGTATAATCCTTTCTACAACGATAAATTTCTAAATTTGTAATAAGTTGGTTCTATAAAAAAAAATGTTTACGGAATCAATGTTATTTCAAAAGAACATATATGTTCATATATGTAATATAATACATTTATTTCATGTAATACTCACCTCTTTCCCTTTTCAGATATTTATATAAATATTGTTTACTAGAGAATTTATCTAATAGTCATTGTGGGAATTAAGTATCTATTTAATTAATGGTGATATTTAAGTAGAGAAAGTAATGCAAAGTAGATAAATAGTACAATTCCTTATAGTACACATTTCATTTTTTTAATATCTTTTAAATATCAAGTATATCTTTTAAATATCAATTATTTTACATTTTTATAATAATTATAGTATACAATATTTATATTTTATATAAGTATAAAATTATATATTATATTATATGTAATTTAATATGTTATATGATATGTAATATAATATGAAATATAATATATAATATGTTATATCATATATTATATGTTACATTATATTTTATATTATATATTATTTTATACGTTCTATTATATGTAATATTATATGTTGTATTTTATATTATATGTTATATTCTATGCTGTATTACGTGTTATATGCTATATTATGTTATACTATATGTTGTACTGTATACTATATCACAGACGAGGTATATGAACACACTGCATTTTACGGACTTTTGTGACCCGTAATCTGAAATACCGACATAAAGAATCACTAGCACAAACGAAGTATATCATCTGACCTCTAAAATTTGTTAAATCATACTGCACATAGTGGCAGTAATTTATCGTAATAATTTATTACAAACATTAATATATTATTGCTAGAATAATTCATAAACACACGTAATTAATAATATATATTTAATAATTCATGATGTTAATTCATGATTCAAAACATGCATTATGAATAACTTAAATCCATGTTTATTCTCTTCTAAAACTTGCCTTATTAAAGGAGGAAAAGAAATAGCACCAGGTTTTGTAATATTAAAATAATTTAATTGTATAATTCGATAGACAGTAACATGGTTGACACGAATAACGTAATGCCACATCGAAGTTGCTGCATTTGTGTCAAGTGATAGAATGATCAAGAACATTATTCGATCCTCTTACAATCGTAGTAGCTCTTCCAGTAACATTTGCTGCACATCATAATAACAAAATCAGAAATTTAAGGAATAGTTTGTTCGACATCATTTCTGTTCTGCAATTGTTAGTCCGGTACGCTTCCACGTTTCGTTAGCAATATAAATATATCTTTATATTTGTAATTAGTTGATTTGCGATCATGTTAATATAATACAATCAATTTTACAATACGAAAGAAAAATTTCTCATCAGTTCACATTAGCTCAAATTTTCGTCAATGTATAAATATAGAAAATGAAAGAAACGTAAGAATTTCCTTTACGCCGTTGATTAACTAACGTTCACGGTTCATTAAGAAATAAGTACTGTTCCACGTGGAACATTATAAAAATTATTTGCATCGTAATATAAAATATCGTACAAAGATTCTCCTGTTCGCATCGATGCAATACTTTCGCTTTCTTCCCACGGCATTCAGCGCGTTTATCTTGTACATTTTTTTACATAGAAGTTCTACAGCCTAGGTTCTTCTGACTGGCCATAAGACGAAATTATACCGAATCAGTTTCACTCAATGTAGCGTATACTCATCAAAATTCATACGTTGATTACGACAGTAAAAAAAGAACAAACAGAACTGAAGCAATTAAAAACTCTAGCATGGCATTTTGTTTGCACTTTCGTTTGCATTTTGCTTGATCCGGTGAGTTTCCATTCTGAAGAATCACGCGTTATAGAAAAATCGTGTAATCCGTCGAAAAGAACAGAATCACGCAAAGTGACGAGATTATTACACGTTCGGTCGGAATCGAAGATAAACATCTATCGGTTAACATATATTGCATAAAGAAAACAATCGCGTTCTCAAAAAATTGCACAGCAATCTATAACTCCGTGTCTACGGGCCAAGATTGAACATATACGTATAATCGAGAGTCAATCTTAAATTAGACAGATCATTGCGTCCCTTCCGCTCGTCAGATTACAATTCGCTGTCCTCAAATATATTTTCTTGACAAAACGACCGAGCCTAGCTCCGACTTGGAGAAACAACTTCGGATGAAAAAGTCCGCACTCTCATCTGGCACTTTTTCGATAGTATTCGTTACAAACTGGCTCTCTCAAGACCGTCGTTAGACGTTGCAGAAATTGTACGAGTTCAAGATTCGCGTGCCTAGGGAAAAATGTATCCGAGGTCACGCGTTTGGGGCATTGGTGGCCTCGTCCTCTTTGCTCAGCTCGATCAGCTTCTCCAGAGAGAACTGGCGCGCCCTTGCTGCCCATACTTCGCCGTTTGCTAGCACCCTGAAGAGAAAATATTTCATTACATGATTTTTTTTCTAAATCAATGTTTCTCAACCTTTCCTCGAGATGATAACTAAAAAGCGGGTTAAAATTTATAGTGGTACGAGTGGAAATTTTGAGGGTTTGAATTTAGTCAGACTTTTAAATTATGATAATCAAAAGACTTTCTCAGAGATCACAAGATCGCAGGTTGAGAATTCAGGTTAAAAGTTGCTCGACTCTTCGGTTACATACCGTCTGGTGTTTTCGCTAACCAGTCTATCCGGTGCTCCGTACACCGGCGGATTAGCATAAGGATCATAGCCGAGCACAGAAAGCATCGGGGCGATGTCAGGCATCTCTCTGACCACATCATCCGGAATGTGGCCTACCCACTTGGTCAGTGCTTCCAGGTTGACCGGCTTTATGATCTGGTCCGACGACCTCTCGACCCTGCATTCCAAAAATACAATAGATTTTAGTCGATGGCTTTACTTTCTCATGACTTTCTCATGACGACTATGTCATATTCGGACAGACGTGTGTGTTAATTTTTCTTGAAAGAAACACATGACTTTCTCATGACGACTATGTCATATTCGGACAGTGTGTGTGTATGCTTACTTGCTCAATGGCACACCGCCTGGCTTGTTAATGAATTCCTCGTGATGCATCACAGATTCATTCCAAGGAACGTCTAGGAAGTTTAGAATCTTTTTCATCCATTGACGTGGATGTAGCACCAGTTGCTCGTACGGAACCATTAAGCATTTGTCCGAGCCAATTTCTTTACACTGGCCGTACATTATAGATATTGCGTGGTTCCACTTGATCAACGATTGTCGGTACGAAGACAGATCGAATCCTGTTATAGTCACCTGAAAGATAAATGCTTTATACAGTTGCAATTATGTGATATACTTGTGATACAGTCGGTCATAAAAGTTTATATATTAATCTTCAAACAGAAAAAGAAGGATTATCTACAATTGTCATTCTTTTCGAAATCTATATAATTTAACTTTATATAATAAATACATTAGTGTCGATAAAATGTTTCAAATCCTGCTTTCTTTTTATAATATTTCTTGTAGATGTATGTAGACTTTCATGAGTGACTATTGTAATATACATATACGGCGATGTGAATAATTACAGCTTCATCAAACAGTGTACAATGCTTGCAATTTCTCTCTAGAGCGTTCTATGTTACTGATTTAAAATTTATTTTAGTTTTGCTCTATTTCTGAAAGTCCTTCATCTTGTATTGTGAATTATTTACAATTTAAATGAAAATAAATCTTTTTCTATTCGAATACTGTTTCTTATAATTTCCCTGCTTCAAGATACTTTCTTGAATTTAATTGCAACAATCAAAGATGTTCATTCGCAACTAAATGAAACGATTTTATAATTCAGTCAGTTTCTATCGGCAGTAAAGAATCGAGAAATGATTCTTCCTCTTAAGAATTATAAAAATATTTATCGCCCATAGCTCACTTGTTAGTTCTATTTAGAAAATTTTACTGAAATTGCATTTCCTAAAAATTGCGAACCTATAATTATTCACCGCTGTCGTAGTGGTAGTAGTTCTCGTAATCTCGCAGGAAGCGATAAAATAATATTTGATTAACTTCGCGTAAAATTGACAATCCTCTCGGTTACAGAATTGCGAGTCGCTTTCGGATTTGCATGATTTTACATGCCAGCCATCGCATTTCCTTTCGATTCGTTCTCTTTTGCATAGGAGAAATACGTAAATTCGCCGTTCGTTTTCTTTCTCTCGTTTTTCCTTTTTTTTTCTTTTTTCTTTTCTTTTTGTTCGTTCTCGCTCATTCTGACGAGTACGTCGTATTTTAATATTCGCGAACGAAGTGGGATAAATTTGCATACATCAGCCGGAATGGCCGGCAGAGCGAAGGATGAGTCGGTCGAAGCCTTCGATCGGGCCGTACCTTTCTCGAGATAATGGAATGCACGGTGGCACGACCATCGCGGATCATGAAGATAAACTTGGCATTTGGAAAGAGATCGAGAATATAGGAGCCCATCTTCAGAGTGAGGGGATCCTTGTTGCACAACCGCGGTGCTGGCTCCGCGTGTCTCGCTATTATCTCCAGACAGAACGCTGCTATAGCACTGTCCATTACCTAAACAATCAATTACTTTCTCATTAATATTGCTAATTATACTATACTATAAAACTCATCGGAGAAGAACATAAATTAAATTTTATGATTAACTATATATATATATATATATATATACATTGATAATGATTCTTTCATATAATAAATTTATATTAACAAATTTACACTTATACACAAACTTGAGAAGTGATAAGAAAATATATCTGGGTAAAAAATAATCCAAAGAACGTAGAATCATTTGTTCCCTTTATAATTAAAATCTCTTGCAAAAGTTACTACTCTAGTTAATCGTTAGTTAATTCTGGCTATTAGCTTACATTCCAATTTAAAATCAGAGAAGTGACAATTGTTATAAATAATTATATAAGATTATAGAGGATTATAATAATAGATAAATTATCGAAAATACTCACTTCTTTCGAAATGCCCGCTTCCGAAAGACGCAGATTCTCCCTCTCAGATTTTAACCAATGCATCCTCATCTGCAGGATCCTCGGAATCACCCGTGTCTCTTGTCCGCATCTTTCGCGAGAAAAAATTATTCGTGGTTATGAAATCATCATTGATTTTTGATAGTGATCAACGACGCTCAACGTCGATCACATCGGCCGATAGTTGGCAATTTGTTTCGATGAATGCGACTCACCTAACATCGGGATGTGCATCGAGCATGGCGCGTACCAGGGTGGTGCCAGATCGCGGCACGCCACCGATGAAAATCAACGGCATGTAGCGATCGTACGTGTACCTCTTGTGATCGAATGGGCCCACCACGTATTTCTGGAAAACGCACACGTGTTATTAGTGTTTAAAGAATGGAAGTAAATAAGGGTGCAAATGCGAAAGTTTAAAGCTTTGTGGAAAGCAATCTTTTGGTTCATTTATTATACACCATCTTACTTTACAATATTTTTGGTTTAATTAGAAGGAAAAGGATAATTAAAGCAGATTTATTTGTCAACATATAGAGTGTAATATATAATTATTGTGATAACATTTTCCTCTATATTTATTTCCATTTAAATTAATAATCGAATTTTTAGATAACGTGGAACGAGAAATACGAAAAGAGCCGTTTCCCCCTTTTTATTTCGTAACGTACGTTATAATTAAAATAATGGAGGATTAAGGTAGAGACGGTTATTTTCGAAGCAGAACATGTAAAATCCGATAGTTAAGGTCCAGTAATTTTTCGAAGAAAAAGTTGGCTCATCCATGCGAGAAAATTCGGTTTTATATTTTTAGAAAAGCGTTGATAAACAGGCTTTACGGGATGTGAGAATAGACGGTAATTTCTTCTTTGGCTTGATGGTGGTTATTGAAGATGATCGTGGTTGTTGCGTGAATGATCGAAGATTTTCGAAAGGTGTAGTTTGTCGAACGATTCTTCCAGAATAGGCAACGAAGAAGTTCTTATTTTACGATATCGTCTGACGAACGAATGTTTCGTAAGCCTCGAACCGGGCAGCAAGATTGATACACTTTAAATTTTTCACGGAGAAATCGCCGCTTCTTTTTTGAAACGATGACAATTTCATCTTGGAGAAGTTTAAATGACTTTCGTGCAATTATGAAAGTTTCGTGCGAAACGTTACGGAGTTTCCGCAAGTTTCATCTTTCCTCGTTTGTCTTTTTTTCTTCGAATATTTTTACGCGACCATTTACTTAACTCTGGGGAGATCGCAATTCTAAAAATTACGTTGCAAATCATGGTGATGCAACGACTTTAATCTATACTTAGTAGCAATCAACGATGCATATAATATGAAAAATAAATATACAATTAATAGTTAAAAGATTAAATACCTTGTGTAAAATTAATATCTTTCGAACTTTTTCCTTGTAAAAGAATGAAATTAGAAGAAAATTTATAACAAGCAGACTACGGATCTTTATGCATTTTATAGAAAATTTGAAAGTTTGCGGTATATAAAATCATTTATGTACCGAGGTTCTAGGTTTTTTAAACAATACTTTCAAAAATGTCTTCTATAGAAGCTTTGAGCTCTGTCTCTTTTTGTTTTGCAAAGTGAATTTGAATGAATTTAAATAATTTGATATGTTGCAAGTGTTCTTCATAGATAAATTTTATCTGTGCATGACTAAAAATATTTATAAAACGATTTAAAATGCATCTGCCAAATCGGCTGCAAACACAGGGTTAGAAATCGAACCATAGCGGTTATCGACACTCGTATACGTCGCTTACACCTTCTTGACAACAAGGAATATTTATTTCCTTTCAGAAGGCAAGAATCGGAAACCAATATCATTTCGATCGACATAGTCGATCGATCGAAAGAACCTATAAATAACCAGGTTCACGTTGCATCTAAATATCGCAGTTTGATAGTTTATCAAAATGTTTTCACAAATTAAATTTCGTTCTCGATGGAGTTATCACTTTAATTGCTCACGATAAATTTAATGGCAGTCTCTTTCAGCAAATAGCAAAATTAACAGGCGTTTTAAATGATTCAATTAGCCGCAATCAATGTGAAGTAGGATAATATTCGAATTAGCTTAGACTCGATTAAGCAAACATTATATCAAGAATTTTATCGGTTGATCGGGCTGTCGATGTATTTAGCATGATTATTAATAAATGTCGTGTCCGTTACTCTTCATTAACACGATGCATAAACTGAAATTGGATTATGGTAATTCCATCACGCGTTATCTAACCGTGGCTCTTCTTCCCAAAATGAATCGAATTTAATGATGGCAGAAAAGTCGTGGCTAAAAACATCATTCGAAAATTTTGGAAACGATTTGCGAGAGATATGAATTAAAATTTATATTTTTCAAGAAATATAATATTTATATTTAATTCAATATATTCAATTTAATATTACATTTACATTGTCAAGAAAGTTAGCCAGGGAATTATTTTATCTACCAAAAATTGTAACTAGACAGCAGGAAATTTGAAAATAAAAATCTACGATTCTAATTATAACGAATAATTCAGTTTGTGTATGTTTATGCATAATAGTATCTTTAATATTTAACAAACGAGGAAAACTTCTATTTAGAAATCATTTCTTTACTTAGACAAAGGCATAAAAATTTGCAATCAAACTTTAATTAACACTCTACTTTGGGGATGCTCCATGCATTCTGTGTATCATTGCACCATTAAAATTCGCATAAACGCACAAAAGTCCGTAATAATAACTAATTACGTCTTCAACGTAACAAAACTATTACATGATAAAGTGTTCTTTTGACACGTGTACTTCGAGCTTACATATGTTCTTCATGCTCCGATTTGTCCACATAAAGAACAACGATTTTTTAATGCGTAACTCTTTCTTTTTCTGTAGTTGCCACTGCTTGCCGTTAATTTTTTTATCATTCCGCGGTTTTGCACGAAACGGTCGGATAAACTGGCACCTGAAACGCTGTCCACAGAATTTATTATACCCCGGCCGGCAACCGCGTTCTAATAAAAACTGGCAATTAACGTTCTAATTGGCGGTTATATTGGCTTAATTATTATATCGATCGCCGCGCCGCCTGGTAAAAATAATTAATTGCGGGTTAATTGGAGACACGTTGGTTGTATACGTATCTCTTAGGAGGCGGAAGCGTTTTGAAATTCAAACGGGGCCGTCCGTCGACTTTTGTGCCACGACACGAGAGAAATACATTTTACACGCGGCCGCTCCCCGGTGACTTTTGCGCTTTTGAAAACGCGGGCCGGATGCCGGGGCTGACGTGTAACGCGCGGCGAAATTTAGCGACCGTCGGTTTAATTAGCGGCGCGATTAAAATTACACCGGCATGCAAATGAACAATCGCGGGGACAATTGATGTTACGGGCCGCAACTCGCGCGTGTATCACAGCTGCGATCGCGTTGCAAACATTGGTTACGATCGCGTAAATAAATCTGTCTAAACGGCTGAGAAAAACGATAAATGTCTCGTGTTTGCGTGCAAGCTGCCGCCATACAAATTGTTATATAAAAAATGAGGACAGTAACTATTTAGAGTACTGCGGTCGCGAGCTCTTCAATAGCAGAAAAAATGATTACGTAATTGAAATTAAATAGAAAAAAATTCGACGAGTTGGATGGTTTAGTTAAAAGATACGAGAGTATATTATGAGTGTACTTTGTTATTCCTAAGCAGTTTTCGAATTATACGTGATGTATTCTATAAAAAAATTTGATAATTTATTCAAGTTTCTAACTTTTTTTTTATACATTCTTCATATGAATACAATGCTACAATGTCATCTTACTTTCTTGGAAAGAGAATTGTGAATTATACCTCGAAGATTTTTTACTTTCAATAATTTCGTCAGATGTCGCTGCAATTTCATTTTTTAAAGCTCAAATATTGGCAAATCAAGGATTATTCGTTCTGTCACAATTAGTAATCATAGTAAGTCAGACAAACGAGAAGAATACTGTATCATGACCAAATCAAATGTTCAGGAAACACTGATATTATTATCCTTGCGAAATCGCTCGTCATCTCTTTGGATAATATAACGTTACGATCAATTCCATTGTAATGAAATGCCGTCAGCATTAGTTGAAGCAATTAATGACATTCGACATTAAAGAATCGTTAGATTTCTATACCTATTGTGTATAAAAATATTGTTCAATATTTCAAGCTCACAAGAAATCGATGAAATATTCCCTATTCTAAACAATAAAAGAAACAAGTAAAAGTGAAAAAAATGATAAGGAAAACAGAAATAAAGAGGAAACGCTTTTGCAATGGATCGCGGAAGGTCGAGCCGAACGCTTTCATCGCGATTTTGTGGCTACCGTCATAAAATAAGCTCTTGTTTTCGAGAATAAAGGTGCGTTGTTAGGCTGGCTCTCGCGTTTTACGATTTTTTCGCGCGCGCACGCCAGACATCGCTGCCGGTGGTGACGTTGAAAAAAAAAAAAAAAAAAAAAAGAAAGAAAGAAAGAAAAGAAACAGTGAGCTGAAAAAGATTTGAAAATCTATCAATTATCTCCCCAAAAAACTTNAAAAAAAAGAAAGAAAGAAAGAAAGGAAAGAAAGGAAAAAAAGAAACAGAGGAAAAACAGAGAATAGAGGAGGGAAGAAAAAAAGAGACAACGAGGGGGAAAAAGGGGACGAAGACAAAAAAAAAAAAAAAAAAAAATAGCGAAAAGAAAGGAAAAAACTACATTTCGCAATTAGCATTTTTCGGGTAACAGAGGTGGTGGCCTCTCGCCTGTTCGGCCTTCCCATTCTCTTTCGCTTTCAGGACCGAAGCACACGGAGGAAAAGCACGCGTGAAACTCAACCGACGCGATTTATGTTACGCGGAGGGTGAGCCTGACAGAAACTCGTTTCTCTTCTGTTGGCGCGCGTTTCCCACCAGGAGAGCTTGCGGATACAGCCATGCTCGATGCTTCGAACGTACACGTATTCACGCATGTTGCATCTTCTTGCCGCTCGTTTCCCTTTTGTCTTTTTCCCCCTTTATCTTTTTAACGTTTGTTTTCTCGCACGTCCCTGGTTGGTCGACGACGCGCGCGATCTGCAAGCTCTCGCAAAAAGATGCAAAAGGTTGGCCACGTTGGCGGAAAGTTCCGAGGAGGAGAGCTACCGCGATTTCGTCCCTTCACGGGAACACGCCTTTCACTCCTTTTCTTCCACGACGCTTAAAACAAACGGACCGCTCGCACAAGTATTCTGATGTCTTTAACACGGATTGCTCGTTTTTTTTGTATGATCTCTGTTGGAAAATCCATTGCTTCATCGTAAGACTCTCAAAACGGAAGACGACGAAATATTCCAAAACGTTT